AATTAGTATAATTTCAGAGCTGAGCAAAGAGTTTCCAGCAATCTGATTGGTCGAGCGGTTCCTTATATGATGCTATATAAACCGCTCCATGCGGTTTATATAAAATGTTAAAATAAAATGTTAATAAATGTTACTAAAATGTTATGATTTTAGAAATTTCTGTTGTTCAGCCCTGAAATTATACTAGAACAATTATTCGCCTCAGGTTCAGTGAATATTGTTGAATAATCCCCTCGACTTCGTCTCGGGGATTATTCGACGATATTCATGTTGCCTTCGGTGAATAATTGTTAAATAGGGATCAAAATTATAACTCTGTGCACAGAACTGAGCCTGTAACTCATTGAAGTGTAGGATTTTATAATCAACTTTACATGATAAAAATTACTGCATTCAGTTGCATCAATTGGAATGACACTGGTTAGGACCAAAATGTAGCACAGAGAAGTGTGACACATACATGTATGTTATTTTTTCAGCCTAGACAATACACTTCTACTTCTAATGTTTTTTCATGTACTCAACTTATTACTACTTGACTTGTTATATATCAATTAGACTACAACTGCCTCTAAACTTAGTTTGACTCAAGAGATAAAATAGTACAAATTATAATTATTGCCTGCCCTACCTGTAGGCCCTTGTGCAAATATTACAAATACTAGTTTATTGTTGAGGTCAGTAGTCATGATTCCATCCTGCTTCTCTCTACTAAACCTAAAGTGTACGGAAACACTTTGATTACCAGATAAACTTGTTTTTTCTTCATTCAGTACCTGTAAATTAATAATTATTTATTTTCTCCAACATAGAAATACTGACTTAATTATAATTAAATGTAGTCATTATGTCTAACCCTGGAAACGGTCCTCTCAATAAATGAGTCTGTGAAAAATGACCACATCAGAAAAATAATCAAACTGATTATTTGCTTTCTTCAATTGTTCTATTTAGTTTCTGATCACAAAATCATATTGTTTTTAAACATCATTCAACTTAAACCCAACATGATTCAGAATAACAAACATCACAGCCTTTAATACTGAGTTGAGCATAATTATAATATCACTGTCATCAGTATACTGGGGTCCAATCAAACAGATACCACATTTTGCAACTTGAACAATGCTACTAGTTGTTTCTACCTGCATTTGATAGTTCCTTCATCATAAGATTGTTGTTCAATTTTTAGTCCTTTTATGTTCTGAAGAAATAAAATGTTGTTTGAAAGTCCATATAAACTCTAATCACACTCAAAAAAATTAAGAGGAATCAACCCAAAACAATGAAAAAATATTGCTAGACAGTGAAGGTAGAACTTCAGATGACCAAAAGACAACTAATAACAGTACATTATAATAAGAATTAACCAATTGAGCTAACCACCTCTTGGTTAGCTCAACTGGTAAAGCGCCAGACTGTTGTGCGGGAGGTTGAGGGTTCGAGCCCCGGCCGGACCAACACTCCACTCAGGGTCTTAGAATAATTGCAGAATATGCTACCTTTCTATACATCAATCAAGAAATGGTTAGATATTCTAGTCGTCTCGGATAGGGACGAATAAATGGAGGTCCCACCTCCTGCATCTATTAATTAGTTGATTTGGTTAGGCAGGGGATGTTAAAGAGCCCACTTCATGAGTTTACTGTGATGTGGTCTGGCCTGTTTACTGGGAATTGGGGGGAGGGAGCATCTGTTATATTTGCCTTTACTTGATTGTAAACTGCTTAGCAGTCTGGTAAAGTCCCCCGTACAGTGTTGTAAAGCCCCATGAATTTAAGATATGAGTGCTAGATAAATAAAAGTTATTATTATTATAATTATAAGAAACTTGTATCATTTTAAGTAAGCTACATAGCTATGAGCAGGATCAGTTCAAGGCTGAACATACTCTCTGTAAACACTCTCACCTTTGTTGTTCTAGTTGGTGTTTGATATCCCTTGATAGCATAATGACCAACTTTAATGCTACCATTCTGAAGGGAACAAATAATGGCATCTGTACCATCCTAAAATTAAAATCAACCAGACAAACAATTATGCTAAAAAGTAATATTTGTTTTCAAACTGCTTTCCACTGCTTTGCCTTGAAATTCCTAAAGGTATGCTTTTGGTCTTAAATATGTTTTTATACAGAAACACTGCCCTATATCGTGCTTCACTGTTCCTTACTTAGCAATGTGTTTACATACAATTTCATTTTCTTTGTTTGTGTGCTTTGTTTTCTATTGTTTTCAAGAACCAAAGTGTAATGTAAAAGAAGAAAAAATTACAGACTGACCAAAAATTAATGGCTTGATTTATAATTTTGTAGATGTCAAATTACATATTAAATAATGGTGAAATACTTTATTTTGCCCATAATTGTGTGAAGAATTAGGAGAATATGATAAAAAACGAAAAATTTCATACATCTGTTTCACTAGTGGTAGAATTTAGGTGGTTGTGAAATTCTACTTATCGAAGCCACGAAAGTATTACTTAACGCCATATTAACCATGTAAGTGAAAAACACCAACTAACTTCTACTTTCAACACACTACTGCAAAAACTTCAAAACTAGATCATTTTATGATATATTCTAAAAAAAATAGGAATGATTACCATAACAGCCTTATGGTTAAATCCAACTGCCGCCCACTTAGTACTGCTGCTCAGTTCAAAAGTAATGGTGGATCCTTGGGGTTTGTAAGTCAGGAAGTAGTCACACTTATTTGGAGTAGATTTACATGATTCTGGCTTAAAGAAACAGCTTTTTGTTTCACCACACCCATCTGCAGAAAACTGAGCAGTAAGAACAAATCACAAAAACAGCTTATTTAACAAGTGACTATACTATCAAATGTGTTACTAAAATTTATTCATTATTTATTTGCTTAAATGGATATGTTTTTTCTACAAGTACAAATCAAAGTTTTCAAGGAGTAATGGTAAATCTTTGCACTAAACTTTCATTTTTTCAACAAACCTTAGAGAGTCTCATTGCTTGACTCTCCTCTTTCAAGGTTAAATAGAGTATCTGTAAAGCAAGCTCTACTACACATATTTAGTAAACTATTTAAAACATATGTTTTCAAGGAAATACCTCTTTGTTATTTGGTCCACTTACTAGGTGGCACCTAATAATTCAGATCACCCTTAATTTTTAAGTGAATAAAGGGAGTAAGTTTCTACAGTAAAAGAAATATAGAAATATAGTAAACAATAGAGAAATATATAATAAAGAAATATAGTATTTGAATGTCATGTTTTAGCCACCAGAGATAGCAAACTATGTATCAAGATCACTTCAAATACCACTGCACTTGATGATCTTTTAGCGCCGAGACATACTAGGCAATTACGCAGCAGGGGCCATGATTATATATCACCTAGAGTTTGTACTTCACGTTTTAAATCCACTTTTGTAAATAGATGTCCTTTTAGCATTGTCTGCCATTAATAGTTAGTTGTATTTTCTATCTCAGTCTGCTTTATATTTCATTCTTTGTAAATAATGACACAGTTGATGCACTATTGCTTTTAATAAAGACCATTATTATTATTATTATTATTAAAGAAACTGTGGAGCAATGTCGGTGGGGGTGACAAGGTAGTTTGGTATATCAACTAAGTTGAAATTGTGAATTGGCCATCGTAAAGAGTTAAAAAGCTAACTCTTTACAGAGTGGCCAATTTAAAATTTCAATTTAGTTCAAGGCTGTGCTCTAAGAAAAATTGAAGGGAGCCCAGTGCTCTGAATGGGTGAAATCCAGGGTGCCCAGCATATGCTTAATATGAAAAACCTAAGATTCCTGAGTCGCCCAAGAGCAAAAGTAAGGGGGCCAGGGGCCACCGGGGACTGCTAGAGCACAGCCCTGTAGTTGATATACCAAGTTATAACTATCAAGTCCTTCACACTCTTATTTCTTTGAAAGAGTGAATATCACTAATAACTCAAAAGGTGGAAATCTTACCATCAGGGAAGTTTTGACACTCTGTCTCTGTTGTGGAAGGCGACCATCACAAAGCAAAACTAAGGGGTGATACACATTGTCTGGGTATTAGTTTGCTTTGATAAAAGGTTAATTCTATCTCAGACATATCTCACAAATCCTCTGAGAAGCATCTAGCTTCTGACAAAAATATCCTCTCTCTTAGACAAATGAATTGTTGATTTGTAGTTGGCTAAAAATAGCAGAACAGCTCTAATAACACAACTTCAGCATGGCTTTGAAAATTTGGTCCCTAAAAGGTTGATTGCAATGCTCATCAAGCTATATCAAAAGTGAAATCTAGTTCATAATTAACTTATAATTGCAATCAAATGCATAGTGGAAATATGATTCTTTGTAGATGTGGCTCCAAACTAGGCAACTATAGTCTAAGTTAAATTTTTGTTCCACCTCAACTATAATGAAGGATCCTAGTCAACCTTAAGGTTAAGCTTTAAACAAAATAATAACCATGAGATATAAATGAAGATCTTAGTCATGTAAATGAGGGGAAATAATTAATGAGACTGAAGTTTTGCAAACTACTGGTTTTTAACAATGAAAAAGTCTGATATAAAAATCTCTTTTTGAAAAATAATGCTGTAATACTTTTCTGTTAAAAGAGATTGTAGACAATGGCTATGACAAGGGCCTTCATATACTGGCAAGAAAAATATTTGCCAAAGTGACAACGACGAGGTTTTAACTAATATTATATGTTTTTTTTTTATTTTTTTTTTTTCATATAAATCATTTATACTCAAATCAGGAGGATCTGTTGAGGTGTGTGGTGATTTAAAAGAACAAATAAAAATGAACCGTTATTTTTTTCAGTATGCAATGTACTCTTTTAGGAATTTACTACTCTAACTTGATTGTCAATTTTATTCGATTTCATTAATTTATAATCAATGAATTAATTCATTCAGATTAGTACAAGTTAAGTGCCATATAACTGTGTCCGTAAAATTACTTGAATTGCTGTTGACAAACGAAAGGACCGTAAATGAGAGATATGAAGATCGAAAACAAGAAATACAAATTCGTGCAAGTATGATTGACCGCCCTCTCCTCTGTTAGACTCTTTAAGAATAAAACAAGTTGAAATTAAAAACAGATAAAGGACTAAGTTCTCAGTAAATCTCCAAAATCATTCAGTGAATAGCTTCTTCCGCAATGTTACATTGATAGAGTTATTGCATGCGAAAGAGTGAGTATGGCTACAATGTATAACGTAGAACCGCTTACCATTCGACAGGAAAACGGCAAATACTCCAAGTATCAGAAATTCGTTACGTATTGCGAAGTGAGGAGCCATACTAACAACCAATGAAGACTTACGCGTTAGACCTACTCAGGAAATACTTGCATAAACTGATAGAAGCTTTGTACCCAGATCTCTCTCAATCCGTAGTCTCGGCTCCTGTTAGCCATCATCCTCGGAGACGCAGGGGCTGTGGGTATGTACTTCATCTCAATCCGTAGTCTCGGCTCCTGTTAGCCATCATCCTCGGAGACGCAGGGGCTGTGGGTATGTACTTCATGGCGCTGTGGGTATGTACTTCATGGCTGAATGCCATATAGAAGACATATAGTTCTATGCCGTATAGACGACATATCCATCGTTTACCATCCCTATCCATCGTTTACCATCCCTATCCATCCTTTACCATCCCTATCCATTCTTTACCATCCCTATCCATCATTTACCATCCTTATCCATCCTTTACCATCCCTATCCATCCTTTACCATCCCTATCCAT